TGCTACTACTACTACTTCTACCACTACTACTACTACTACTACTACTACTACTACTACTACTGCTACTACTACTACTACTACTACTACTACTGCTACTACTTTTTTGTCAATTGGTTTTAGTATTGGTAGTATACATACATGTTATGATCATCATTGTTGTGGCTTCGCTGCTTTTTGTCTCGCACACTGTGCAAGAGAAGCCCTGCGAAAGGACTGTCTGTCTGAAGGACTCGGCAAACCCGAGACCCCAAAAACCGACAATCAGTACAACACACATCCAAGTCGAACCTGCCTCCGATACCTGACCTAACCTAATCCATTCCCGTAAACAAACAAGACTTACGCGACATGCTTCCAGCAGGACATGGACAAAACTAAAGACCCAACGACACAAGCTTCACATGAAACGGGACCTGAACACTACGGATCCATGGCAGGGCGCCGTGGAAGGAGATGTGCAGCCTAAAGAAAGTCACGCCAAGGAGGAGTACTAGGTAGGCTTCCCTAAGCCCAAACCCCTGAACCCTTTACCCCTCAAACCCCAAAATTAACCCGAAACCCTGAAACCCTGAACCCTAAAACGTCAGGGAGCACGATGTAGGCACCCAGGATCAGCAGTCCCAAAGCCAATTCCCAGAGCCCTGGGCTCGGAGATATTGCTGCCAGTATTGGTTTAGGGTTTAGGGTTTAGGGTTTAGGGTTTAGGGTTTAGGGTTTAGGGTTTAGGGTTTAGGGTTTAGGGTACTGTCATTACTATCATTGTGATGATTGTTGATATTGTTAATATTTTAAACATTGTTATTGTCATTGTGTTGTTGTTAGTATTGCTGTTATTAGTGTCACTGTTGTTATTATTGCTATTGTTCATATTGTGATTATCAATATTGCTATTTTTGTGATGGGTTTGGGGACTGGGGCGTTTGCGGCTTGCGATTTAGGGTTTAGGATTCAGGAGAGAGGGTTTAGGATTTGGGGTTTGGGGTTGAGGGTTGGGTTGGGGTTTGGGGTTCAGGGGCGGGCTTGATCCTCTGTGCGTGTATGACTGCTGTGATCGAAATCGGCCATCTTGGCTCACGAACAGATGCTCTATCAGTTTTGCTTGCGACTCTTTGACTGTTTCTGGTATCCCAAATGCTGTAGAGCTTTTGGTCGGAAGTCGTTCTTTACGAGTTCGCCTGTTCATCACCGCTTGGTTTTCCACAAGCGACAGGGGTCAAAGAACGGCAGTAGAAGCCCAAAGCCCCAAACCTTGAACAACTCTGGGCAGTAGTATCTCGGAGTGTCGGGAAACTTCTTGAACTATGAAGCTCCCCAGCTCCGGAAGCCCAAGCAAAGCCTGCAGACTCTCCAACGCGAAATGACCATGCAGTACTACTTGCAAGGAGAGAGAACCTTGCAAAATCTGAATCCGAAACCTCCCTGTAGCGGCGTAGTATTGACGGTACCCGGTTCAAGAACCCAGCAAATCTGTCCTTAAGACCGTTGCCTCGTACCAGCCATCCGCGAAGCAAGACCACCAAGACCCAGTCGAAAGGAAGTGTGCAGAATGCTGCTGCGAGCCTCGGCAGGACTGTGCGCAGATTTACTGGAGGGCAAGTGGGACGATTGCTGCCCGTGGCAGCGGTGATGACAGTAGTGGAAGTGGCAGCGGTGGCAGTGGCTGAAGCTGCGGTAGCAGTTGGAAAGGTGGTACTTGTCAGTGTGGTGGCAGTGGTCGTAGTGGTGGCAGTGGCGGTAGAGACGGTACTAATGGGGTAGTAGTGTTGATAGTGGATGTAGTGGTGGCAGCCATAGTAAGAATTGCTGGAGCAGCAGCAGTAGCAGCAGTGGAATTCGTCGTCGTTGCTGTCGTCGTCTTCTGGAGTGCTACTCAAGTATTGCTGATGTGCACGTTCGACCTGCTCGGCAGGTGCAATAAGACGGTAAAGTGCAATTTGGTACCTGCCTGACAGCT